GACCAATTACTTCTGGTTTAGAAAGGTTTCAATGTAAATGTGAAATATACTGTTTTGTTATACTGTTATTTGTACTGCAGATTTGACTTGAATTCTATGGAATACGCTCCATATTTTTCACTTGGTACCTGTATGGAAGGCTTGAGTTATATACTGACCTGTTTATATGGTATTCAACTCAAAGAAGAGAAAACAAAACTTGGTGAAGTATGGGCCAGCGATGTACGCAAACTGGTGAGTTATAACACTGCCCTGATCTTACTACCGTCTACTCAGTGTGGGGGCTGCACTGTGATTTATTTCACAACTTGGTCTGTAGAGGGCATACTGTTCATACCTGCATCAAATTTTCTTTATAAATAATCACTGTGACTCTCATTTCTTAATTCTAGGCTGTTTTACACGAGTCTGAAGGTTTATTAGGTTACATTTACTGTGATTTATTTGAAAGAGTCGGTAAATCACAACAGGATTGTCATTTTACAATTAGAGGAGGGAGGCGTCTCGATGACGGGAGCTATCAATTCCCGGTAGTTGTTCTTATGTGCAGTTTTCCGTAAGTACTTGCATCACTTACGTAGTGCATGTCATTCGTAGTTGTGATGTTTAGTTAGAAATAGCGCTGTTAATATATGCAGGGGTAAATGTTGTAGAGATGGTTGTTACGAGTGACATCATTGGCTAGTATTGTCTATGAACTTCAAGGTGATTGGATAATACACTGAATGATGCTTTGTATAACAACCAGCTCTACAAATAAATGATATCAGGTGATAACCTTTTTATCACGTGACCGACTCAGACTGTTAAAATGTCAGATATGTTTTACTGAACTCGGCGTACGAATCATGTGCTAATTATGCACGACGTCTAAGCTTGTCGGTGAAGTCAATTGCAGGTACGACCATTGATGGTTTTCGTAGTCTTGTAGGAATACCACCCTTACTAACAATGTTTCAAAATGAACTTTCAGTCATAGTGATACTGGAGACAGCATATTTTCTAAGTCTGTTTCCAATTAACAATTGTTTGTATTTTGACAGCACACCCACCAAGGCAATACCTTCACTATTGTCTCATTCAGTAAGTATTTATAATTGTTTGATATTTGTATTTTGTTGCTACATTTAAAAAAATAGATTGTACCGTACATTATTTGTGTTAAGCCGATGGATCTCAGTCTCCAGTATTGCACCGTGGTTGCATGCCAAGGTTCTGAGTGACCAGGTCGCGTATCAGTATATTAATTGAATGAAATGTCTGTGGATGACAGCCGAATATTACAATAACTGTTTATTGTTTCATACTTCCTTGACATCAAAGATTACGGTATCATTACCATGCTTATACTAATGTAGCCAACTCGTATGAAACTTGATTGTTCTAATCACCAAGTTTAGTGGTTTTCAGATGCCTAAATTTAAGCAGATAAAATGAGCTTCATATGATATCTTAAATAATCAAACTGAAACAATTTAAATCCTGGCATTAGAAAACTTTGTATTTTCCAAAACTGTACAGTTATCTTCATTCTACTCAATCTGTACAGATTTCATTGTAAAATATTGATTTTCCTAAAAATCATATAAACTTGGCACACTGTAACTATGAGATCTAAGAGAAATTTGTGTATTGATACAACATGCAGTCTGAACGATAAATCAATCCTGGCCTTTTCAAATTGTCTGTGTCATTGCTGGGCTTGGCTATGTGAAAGTATGAAAGTACCCTGGAGTATATCAGTACATGGCACAACTATTTGGATAATTCGACTACCAAACACGCACTATTGTACTATTATATCCAATCCTTAACTATTATAACCAATTGACTATTTTGAACTGTAGGCATTAATCAGCGATTCTGTCGGTGACGGAGAGATAGAATCTAGGTCAGGGGAAGCCCCATGACCCCAAGATTCTACTTCCCTTACATCACGAACCACGTGACCGAGGCCACATGGCAGCGCCATAGGCGGCCATACAATTACTCTTCTTTCATCTCCGCCTCATCGGGAATGATTCTGAGCGGCTCTGCCTGGCTCTGTTGCTTTTTCCTGTCCAGGTTTCTAGCGTGGGTCATTGCCGCAGCCGCGGAATTCGACATTCTAGCTGGTAGAATAAGTTTTTCTTATCTTTTTACCCTCGTGTCGTTTGCCCCTTTGTGTGTTATGTTTTTCCACAACAAAGAAATTAAAACCCGGCGCCACCACGTAGCCACTTGTTGGTTTCATGGCGGCACCTTTGACAACTGTATTTCGTTTCCCTCATGCATGTCATCTTTTATTTACAATGTATTTAGAAATGGATAGATGCACTGGCAACGCCAGAAGCTCGTCGCCGGTATTGTCCCCTCAGTTTTTGAGGCGGACCTGCAACCATTGTAAACGGAACTTGCAAGACTGGAACGCACATGCTAAATTCTACCGATGTATTACCTGCGTTCAGGGTTCGGGTGTCTGCCCAGAGAATATTTGCAATCACTGGGGTTCTGAAGCCTGGGATTCTTTCCAGCAATTTATGAAAATTGCCCAGACTGACCGCGTTGCTCGTTCACGAAAAGGTGGAACCGACATAGGTATGGGTGAGTTGTGCGTTGACATGAGTGGGAAATCCTCGCACTCGGCTACCGGTACTCGTACCGGGATACCAAGCAAAAGTCCCGGCGGTGGAGGGAACCGACTTATTTCTGTCTCCCCCCGCTGATTGGAGGGCATCTGCACAGTCTGATTTTTCAGGCAGTGGAACCATCCTCGCACGGCGCCCGTTTTGCGTTGGTCGAAGGTCTATCGGGGCAGATTGCGTCCCTAGCAGGCCGGGTAGACCAAATGCAGTCAGAGCGAGCTGTCTCCACTGCGGCCTCTCGGCCAGCAAGCAGAAAGAAACCTAGAAAGCACTGTTCGCATTCTAGACACGTAACCCCCCGTTCCCAGCCGTGACCCCTCCGCTAATTTGAGGCCGAGGCTCAGGCTAGTGACACCGGGTCTCCTCGGGGACCTCGGACACAGAACACCAACGGGGATGCTGGTAGCCAAGACTCCATTCTCGGGGCAGGGCTGTCGGTGCAGGGCATACATTATACCTCCCCCCGCGTTCAACCAGCCAAGGTTCGCCGCACAGTACCGGACTTAAAAATTTACCTTCAAGTCTGAGCTCCGCTGTGGGTTTCGACTCCCTTCTTGCCGACCCATTGGCGTTCCCAGAGGGAACCGACCCTGTCATGAGACGCACTCTTGAACACGCTCTCGCCCACATTTTTAGGCTGAGCGGTGGCAGTTCGTTCGCGTTGGATACAGTGGGTACCTCGGGCGGTCCACAATGTGTAATGACTCGGTAAGCCACGCTGTTGGGGTGATGCGGAATATTTTCAGTCCAGGTGACATGATGTATATTCCCCCACCCTCGATCCTAAAGCAACCACTCACAGTTGCTTCTAGGCTGATGGGATCGCAGGGGCTGGAATCCAGATCGACCCCACCTGCACGTATCTCCTGGTCCAGCAAGGGATCAGGTTACGACTTAGTAACTCCAGTGATTCCCGGGGAAGCTCACCTCACGGAAGAAGAGAGACCCCCCCCCCCCTTGCAACCACCGAACCCATGGCCAAAGATCCCTGTCGCACGCAGATTGCGCCGGTGCATTCCAGGTAACTGATCCCTGGACGCTCCAGGTGGTGACCCTCGGTTACAGAATACCACTGACATCTCCATCGCCCCTGTCAGTACCCCCCCCCCCCGCTGGGGGCACTGCCAGGGGATTCCCGCAAGGCGGAAGCAATCAGACAGGAAGTAGACAGTTTGCTAAGAAAGAGTGTCATACAGAGAATAGTTTGGGCTTCTACTCCAATGTATTCGTAGTACCCAAAGCTACAGGCGACTGGTGTCCGGTTCTGGACCTAAGCAGACTAAATCAGTACATGTATATGCTTCTCGATCGGTTCTGCATGGAGACACCATCCAGTGTCCTACTCTCCATCCACCGGTTCGACTGGCTAGCCTCTTTAGACTTATGTGATGCATACCTGCACATACCGATGCACCCAGCGAGTTGCCCGCTCCTTCAATTCGCCCACCTGGACCAAGTATTTGAATTTCGGGTGCTCCCCTTCGGGTTAAGCACAGCGCCCTACGTGTTCACCAGAGTGATGAAACAGGTAGTACTACTCCTCCACCAAATGTCGGTACACATCAATCCGTATCTAGACGACTGGTTGTTATACAAGGGGAGCGCATCTATTGGACAAACATGCCCAAGGAATATGGCCCCTGCATTGGGTTCGGGACCACCATATCAACTGGCTGGTTCTGAAAGCGGTGCGCCTAGCACTATTACGCTTTCTACCCGAAGTTCGAGACCGCAGTGTCCTGCTCCGCACAGACACCACAGCGGTGGTTTCCTACATCAACAAGAAGGGGGGACGTGTTCCCCATCGTTGTCGGTCATAGCAGAGCAAATTCTCCTTTGGTGACTGGAATACAATGTGGAGCTAACCACACATCACCTTCCAGGGGTGAGGAACGGTCTGGCAGATGCCCTTTCGAGGCAGCTCCGTCTCCAGAACTCGGAATGGCAGATACCCCAGTTGGTAGCCTCCAGGCTGTTTTGGCTGCGGAATGCCAAGCTCTCGACATATGTAACACTCCTGCCGACACCAGGGGCCTGGGCCGTGGACGCCTTATCGATCCTGTGGTCCCACATGGATGCGTACACCTTTCTTCCCTTCCCGTTAATTCACCGGGTACTGGAGAAACTTCGACAGGAGCCCACCTGCATATTAAGTCTGGTGGCGCCCAATTGGCTGGCCAAGGCCTGGTTTCCACTCCTGCTGGAAATGATAGTTGAAACACCACTAGTGCTTCCGGACTTACCGGACTTGCTGTCTCAACCGGACGGCGCACTGCCAACAAGCCCAGCAATGTACCACTTACACGCATGGAGGCTCTCAGTAGACTCACGCAGATGGAAGGTCTATCTGAGCGGGCTGCCAACGTCCTGGCCAGTGCCAACAGGGATTCCACCAACGCTGCCTACGACTCGAAATGGCGAGCATACTTTAATTGGTGTAGTGGAAGGGAGATTGATCCATGCCATCCCTCTATCAGCCAGGTAGCAGACTTCTTTGTCCACTTGTTTGACGAAGGAGGTTTGTCCTACGCAGCGATCGTTGGCTACAGGTCAGCCTTGTCCCCTGCCATAGAGAACTCTTTGGGGTCAAGTCTAGTCGGTCTAGCCGGTCAGAGCTAGGCGCACTGTCCTTCGCGGACCGTTGCGCTGCCTTTATGGACGATCAAGTTGTACTAAAGACACGAAGCAGGTTTCTCGCCAAGAACCAAATCCCAGAACACGATCCTCAACCGATCTTCATCCCCCGGCTGTCAAATATTGTCGATCCGGAGGATCAGGAGAAATTGCTTCTCTGCCCGGTCCGAGCGTTGAGTTGCTACGAGAACCGTACTAGGTTTTCCAGACGGGGAACCAAACACATGTTATAACTATTATAACCAATCTATAAAGCATTGTAACTAATCCATAACTGTTTTAGTCAATCCATTGTAGCAAATTATTGTAGCAAATTGTAACCAATCTATAACCAATCCATAACTGTTAAAACCAGTTCATAACCATTAGTCATATAAAATGAATAACTATGATATCACTGTTTTACATTACAGATGGTGGAGAATTTATTTCATGAGATGGGTCATGCAATGCATTGTGAGTATATGACATGATGCAATTACAACAATTATATGCCATTTACCATACTGGACCATGCTAGCACCTATGCCCTGTCAAGTGTCAATTTTTATATTCGTCATATTTGGCAAAGCACCCACCCCTTTCAAAATGCCACTAATTTAAAACTTTGTCTTTGATCATTGCTCAACCAATACTGGTAATCGTTTTTATATGATACAGCATGGATATCGATCGCCTATGGATATATTGTGAATGCATATGCCACGGTAAACTATGCTTCGACAATGACCTGTTAATAAAAAATAAAATGCCATATTTAGTTACCTATCAAAAATTGCTAGGTATATATGTAATATGCATTACTATACTTAACCAAACTTTGTTTGTTATAATGTGTACGGGTGATATCTTTATATAACATGTTTTTCATCTTCATAATTAATTTGAAGAGTAATATTCTATAAATTTTCTTTTTCTGTCAGCGGAAAATGTATCATGTACTGTGGAATACTTTATTTTCGCTGGAATTAATTTTCGCTGAAAAGGATTTTTGGGCGTTCTGTATGGAATTTATTTTCTCTGATTTTTGATGAGTTGAATGTGAAATATAGGAAAAAAAGTATATTTGCTGGATTTAATTTTGACGGAATCATCCCATCCGCGAAAATTACAAAAATAAATTTCAAGCGAAAATAAAAAAGTATTCTACAGTATTAGAAGGCTTTGTCATTGTAACTTATTTATTGTGATAAATGAGAATTTTTTTTATTGATGATACTGATTGCAGTGTACACGTACAAAATACAAGTACCTACACTTACCTAAATTGATACCTCATTTGACTGATATGAAGGAAACATATAGAATTGCATGTACATGTTTTGCTGACCCAGTTGCACTGGTACTTACCCCCGGTGTGTTGTTTGTTTAGCCATGTTAGCCCGGACCACCTATCAACATGTCACTGGTACGAGATGTGCCACTGACTTCGCTGAAGTGCCTTCAGTTCTCATGGAATATTTTGCCAATGATTATCGAGTTCTCAAGTTGTTTGCCAAACATTATAAAACAGGAGAGGTACAGTATATAATTAAACTATTTCACAAGATTTCCGAGTTTCTTGATATACATGTCTCTTTAAATCACACATTGCCATCCACACAAATTTACCATATTTTATAGAATTTTATTGAAATATTTATTTCACCAGAAATAACATGGTCCTGAATAACTCAAAATTTAAAAGAATCCAAAGCTTATGGAAACTGCAAATTACATGACAAAAATATACCCGTAACTCAAGCAAAAAAAAAAAAAAAAAAAAAAAGCTACAAAAATTCGAAAAGGAAACAAAATAATATGTACAAGTCATGAAAATTATTAGATACATTGTGTAAAATTATTGACATCATACTGCTCTGGTGTTGTCATTGCATTAATAATATGGCCTTAAATCACATGTATAAATAAACTGGTGCATTGATATGAAAATTGGTGGACTACAATATTTGATATTTGGGATTATGGATATAACCTCCTAATGCTACAACTACCGTAGATCTTGTGTTTCCTGCAATAATTTCTTTTCCTAAAAATCATCCTCTCAGAGAAAATTGCGAGGAATCCAAATCGAGCTTGTTATGTTGTTTTGAATCTTTGAACACAGACTATACCAGAAGAACTGATAACGAAGCTGTGCTCTTCTAAAAAGATGTTTGCAGCCTGCGAGTTGGAACAACAAGTTTACTATTCCATACTGGACCAAATATATCATGGAAAACATCCCCTAAAGTTGGTAAGATCTACATCGTAATTTGGTAGGTTCATCTACAACCGACATCTGTGTATGCACCGTATAAACTATTTCGACTTAGAAATCGGTCTTACTCACAATTTACGACTCACTGTCTTTGGTTTATGTGATCAGTAACACACTGCCTGTTGAACGCCTCCATGGATAGTCGAATTGAATTGGGGGAAAAACGGCGATGTAAAGTATCATATTCGTCATAATGTTTTGTGTTTAGAGTTGCATGGGTCTCATGTAATGTACACTTTGTCTATTTACCCAAAATTCAATTCACACTGCATGACAACTCATTTGATAACTTACAGTGGTTATTGTCTTATTGAAAATGGTAATATATCTATGTATCTTTTGATTTATAGAAGTATTTTGCATCTCAATATTGTGTAAATTGTACACTATAGCAATGCACGAATCTTGGGTTCTTGGTCATTATTTCAATTAAACCTGTCATGGTGTCATAAGTGTTGTTGCTTTGGATTTGTGATCAATACTTCACAAGTTCAAAGTTTAACAGAGGGATTGAACACCAACATATAAATGACTTGCACCTTAGGTGACTAAAATGGAGAACAAACAGGAAGAATCTTGGTTAATGTTGGCTCTGTTTTGTATACATGTACGGGTACCATGCATTAAATTTACATAATTCCATTATGATAGGAAGATGCCTTAGATGGTCACAAAGCGATGACGTGTACCAGTCGTAGTCAAAAACATTGAATACAATTTCTGTAGCAAAATGTACTGTGTATGGTTACCTTTAATAAATATTTAATATATAAAAAAAGTGAAACATTAATTAATTTCCATGTATGACATCCAAATAAAACGTAATTTCTCTTTCCTTTTACAGACTACTGCTGAATTATTAGCAGAAATTCAGAATAAATATAGTTGTTTGCCCTACATAAAGGATACTGTAAGTAGCGGTATTACTAAATTATGTATTATTAAATTTAATATTCATTTGCAATGTCAGAAATTTGGTACTATTTACAGAAGGACTAGGGTAAAAGCTATGTGTTTATCTTGTGCTGGAGTAAACTTTTGGAACAGTATTGATAATAATCTGAAAAATTGTAAATGTTTCCACACATTTAAGCAAATGTACAAAAAGCATTTGTTAGAACAATATCATGAAATGTGATTTTTCTTTTATGATGTTGTTAAATAAAACATGTTATTTCATGTTATTTGTGATTAATATTTTGAATCGCCCATTAAGGCAATTCTCAATTTAATGAGTGTAAACAGGGAACATCATCAATAAGCAGTTCTTCGTGATTTGCCCCTTTTCGTGTAACATTATTTATTTATTTATGTATTTATTTATTTATTTATTTATTTATTTGTTTGTTTGTTTGTTTGTTTGTTTGTTTGTTTGTTTGTTTGTTTGTTTATTTATTTATTTATTTATTTATTTATTTATTTATTTATTTATTTATTTGCATAATGTATTAACTGCAGATGGATACAAGGAAATAAAAATTATTGTCATAATTGGTACCATGACAATCGTACAGACATATCAGGAGGACATTGTCAATGGTGATTTATTGAATTTTGTGTTTTCCTTTTTCAAATTGCTAGGCTTGGCAGTTGAGGTTTGGACATTTAGTCGGGTATGGTGCTAAGTATTATAGTTATCTGTTGTCAAGGGCAGTTGCATCATCGCTATGGCATCAGTGTTTCAAAAACAACCCACTGAATAGACAAGTAGGAGAAGACTATAGGAGGAAAATGTTGGCATTTGGTGGTGGTGAAGAGCCTTCCATCTTAGTTCAAAGTAAGTAACCTTTCCATCTTTTTAATAGCTAGCCCTCAATACTCTCAGAAAGTACCAGGATGTGTGACCTTTTGGGTTCCTACAACAATACACTCAGAAAGTACCAGGATGGACGTGTGACCTTTAGGGTTCTTACAACAATACACTCAGAAAGTACCAGGATGTGTGACCTTTAGGGTTCCTACAACAATACACTCAGAAAGTACCAGGATGCGTGACCTTTAGGATTCCTACAACAATACTCTAAGAAAGTGCCAGGATGTGTGACCTTTAGGGTTCATGCATTCATGACAAACTCAACCCTTCAGTCATGTCTAGATAATTAATAATTTACTGTCAGTAATGTTTTTGTTTTTAGATATGCTTGGCAAGGAATTATCAACATCACAACTGGTGGAGTCCCTCATTCAGGATGCACTTTAATGCAGACAATGAACTGAAATGATGATGTCATCAGATTACCTTGTGTTGCTGATGCCATCAAATTACACTGCGTTGCTGATGGCATCAAAGTATGTCATGTCATCAAATTAAACTGTGTTGCTGATGCCATCATAGTATGTTATGATGATGTCATAAAATTCCACTGTTTTGCTGATGCCATCAAAGTATGTTATGATGATGTCATCAAATTACACTGTGTTACTGATGCCATCATAGTATTTTATGATGATGTCATCAGATTATACTGTTAGTATTGCTGATGTGTGTCATCTTGTAATGTCATACCTAGTGTGTTTACTGCCACGTTTCAAGGTACTGTTTCTATATACCGGTATATACAGGTACACACAATATATCACTACCTCTCTTTTCCGTTCTTGGAATCAAAAATGTCATATCATATGTGTTTGGATACATATGCACGTCCATTCATTTTCTGATCTGATTCAAGATGACCGAGCAGTGGCCATTTTAATGTTAAAAATTCAAGAACATCAAAATTAAGCATTTCTGCCATTTCTGAATCTGATCTTGCTCGTGTGTAGCTGTATTTCTTTCAAACTTGATTACAAAGCATTGGACATTATAGAACCTTGATGCATGTCATTTTGTTCTTCAGATCAGATTTAAAATGGCCGACTGGCAGACAATTTCTTTCAATAAATGTGGTTTTGAAGCTATATCTCTGACATGCCTTGACTGATTGTGATCAAACACTATATATACATCATGCATTTTGTCCCACATATGCACATAGATTTATTTGACAGTCTGATTTAGGATGACTGAATGGTTAAAAATGCATCAAAATTTCAGATCTTGGTTATACAAAATATGCAAATACAAATGCTGTTCTAGAGCCTGTCTCTGACATGCATTGACTGATCACAATAACATTTGTTTCATCTTCTGATTCAAAATAACTGACTCATGTCAGTTTTGAAGACTTGTTTTATGTTATATATTGATATATATATTTTTAACAAATATTAGTCAGTTTTCACTTCCAGTTTTGCATTGATCAAAAACTTGTTTTTAACTAAAAACTTTAAAGTCAGTCATCAATTCTTTTCAGCTGGGCAATGGTATCAATTTCAGAAATAAAAGTATGCAGAACACTTTCAATTAAGAAAGGATAGACATGTAGCTGTTCCCATGCAGACATGTCTGAGTGAGTCTGTCAGCGAGGGCGCAGTAACTTTTGCAGATCATGTTATACGACAGACTAGAATTGTCACAGTGTGTGTGTGTCGAGTGTCATGTGACTTAGTGTGAACAATTTGCAAATAACATTTGCATAACTAGGATCTGTTGTAAATTGATGCTAGTTTTTAACGCCTTTAAAACGGTGATATTTGTTCGAATAGGGGAGTGTTGGATGTATTTTTGCATATTTTTTGTCAATCTGCATCTGCCAGAAAAGAAAATCACTGGTTGTAGTTCAAACTATTGTGATATGTTGTATTATACCATCACTATGAGATCTTTATTGTATTCTCCATTAGTTTTCATGAAAGTTGCAAGTTCCTCATTTCTATTGTCTTATGATATACCCTGATAATCGCTCCTGTCTGAAAATTTCTTCAAACAGTTGACCTTTGCCTAGATGACAAAGTATGACATACCGGAATGCAAAACACAATACAATGCAAACTTTCTTATTTATAGTTTGTTTATTATTTGTTGTTTGCTTTAAATGTATTTCCATAGACATTACAGTTGTCTTGTTGGCTAAGAAATGGTGGGTAATTAACTTGCGTTTTTATGCATCAAATGGCTAAAAAGTTAAGATTAATTCGAGCAAAGATACTTCAGGGATGTATTTTCATTGAAAGTATAATAATAAGAAGTTACGAAAATAGAATGTAATCGCGAAACACCTTGTGTATTTTCAATTGTTGCAATATTGCTTTATTTTGTTTAATAATAATTATATATTGTGTGATGAAATGTAAAAAGTTAATAAAATTGTTTTTTGATCCATTTCCTTGTATGTTTCCATGTATGTTTATTGGGTAGTAACTTCCAAATGCGAGTTGAGACAAGATGCGTGATTGTTTGGCAATCAGAAATGTTGAACTCTTGACCTGCTTTGACCTAAAGGCTACAACCAATCACTTGGAAGTTGTGTATTTGTGTGACATCAGAGCAGAGAAATTGTTGTATGGTGTTTTTCTTTTTATCAATTTTGCTGGAAATCTGTTTTAACATTTCTAATATTTGTTAATCGTACTAGGTAGGTATTTCGGAATATATATATAATGCTGCCAAGTCATTACTGGTTTGGCATCAAGATTCGGCATATTTTTTATGTAAAAAACGAGAGATAAACTATTATTTAGCAATTCGTAAACATTGCGTCAACATGTGAAACGATGAACTTGACGACTTCAAAACCTGCATACTACCCCCCCCCCCCCATAAAAAAAGTGGGATTCCGTAACTTTTGACTTTGGTTAGCTATGTAGGTGATGAATACTGGTAGTGTGATGGTTGTCTGACGATGGCTGCCAATGTTTGCAAGAAAATCGAAACTGCTCTTCAAACTTGTTTCCGACAACAGTTACCACAGGGGCTTGACGATCTATTCGTCTCAATGCGTGGACGTCTATAGGGGCTGAGTGACTATGTCCCGGTACAGGACCTTGCCCTTGCTCAAAATAATAGAAAATATGAATTAAAACAGTTTAGTAATGTAAAGCAACCATATGTTATTAAATTTAATCATCACGCTCCAAAACCACAAAAATCACTAATACTTGTTTCCGGCTGATCAGCTTGCACGATATTACTTAACTGTTTTAATTCCATAATTTATATTATTTTGAGCAAGGGCAAGGTCCTGTACCGGGACATAGTCGCTCGGCCCCATAGACGTCCACGCATTGAGACGAATAGATCGTAAAGCCCCTGTGGGTATTACAAGGCACATATAAGGTTATATTTTATTCTACTCTAAACGTAAAACAAACGGTGTTTTATTTATGACCAATAAATTGAAGAGGGCGCAAATCCTGAAACATCGACGTCCTGTAAAACAATCGAAGTTTAATTTTATGACATGCGGAGGCGCTAATCATAAAACAATACCGTTGAAGTGCACCGCTGGAAGTGCAAGTATGGTGTCATGTAAAACTAGGTCATCTTCCTATTCTTCTCTCCACCAGCATTTACATAACTGATTATGTAACATTCTGAAATTATACACCAGTTCGTAATTTATGTAAGAATTTACAGGATATTTATCCAGAAGACAACAATTGCCTGCACTGCATCTGACTCAAAATGGCGACGATTTTGAAAAGGTAAGTAAAAAGTCAAGTGACGTGACTACAGTGTATAACTTATAGGTACATAGCTAATCTTATAAGTTCTGTAATTTGTTGATGTTCGTTCTCAGTTTGATGTACTCGCGGTAAGGGTGCATTATGGTGTTATCACAAAAACGAACCATTCGATTATTATGTCTGTGCATATTAATTAGAGGGGGGGGGCAAGGGTTATTTTCGTTCAACGTAATTGCAATATTTTTTTGTTCGTACAACGTAAATAGAAAAAATAAATTCCGTAATTCTGTAATCACAGGCTAGACGTACAACGTAATCAATCAAATATTCTTTTCGTACACTGTAAAAATGTGTCATTTTTCTCGTACAGACAAAAATTCAAATCCAAATAAAAAAATCGTAAAGAATAATCCAGGGAAATTACAATTTAGAAACTGTAAAACGACTAGATGACACAATTCACTACAAAATTGAATGTCAAGACGTAAAAGGCCCTCTAACCGAATGAAGAGCATTACGAGGGTAATATGCGCATGCGTCTCTTCACACAGCGCAGCAATGGTGGAGAATTTGAGTCGGAGAGCTCTTCGGACCATTCAATGTTCCATTTGTTAACACTGTAAAAACGTCTTTTTTTTCTTCGTAAATTGTGAAAAGCCCTTTTTATTTCCCGTAAAACCGTACCAGCTACCCCCCTTGCCTCCCCTCTAATTACAAAGTACTGATGAACCTAAAGGGTCATTCCAATTTTTATCCACACCCCTACCACTGATGGGCAGAGGGAAAATTATCCCCCAGGAAGAAAGAAAAACAGATATCCCTCTGGAAAAGCACTTTGTCGTTCATGCCCCCCTCCCATGGTCAATGTGACTAAAAAGTGTTAAAAAACGATGTTTTCAATATATTTCACCAGAGGTACATTACTTGGGATTTACACCATCTGGATTACAAAATGAAATCAACATACTACACACATACTGTAATAAATGGAAACTAGAAATCAATTTGTCTAAAACAAAAGTCATGATATTTAGTAAAAGATCACTGAAAACATCAGACACGTGGAACTATGGCAATAAAAACATTAATTGCGTTACAAGCTACACCTACCTTGAAATATTGATGACAGCATCAGGAAATTTTGAAAAAGCAAAACAAACATTATCCGAAAAAGCATCTAAGCTCTGTTTGCGCTTAACAAAGCATTATTATTTAACGCAGATATCAACATCTTTATCAAGTTATTTAATACCAATATCAAACCAATATTGATATATGGTGCAGAAATCTGGGGTTATTATTATTTAACGCTCCAGGCATGCAAATAGCCATGCACCTGAACAGTATTTTCCATGACTCATCACCATGTGTTCATTCATTTGGTTAATATATAGACAACTTTGGTTCAATGGGTTCATGGATTGAAAAATATAACAAGCAACGCAGCTGACAGTGGAGATATTATAAACATTTTTTAAATATAAATTTTTTATAAATAAAATTGACCAATCCAGAAATGATACAGCGACATCATCAAGTTATCAGCTCAACATCAACCAATCGGCAAGCCATTTATTTTGATAAAGTGGGCGGTCATAGTTGCTATGTCACTTGAAGACTTGTGCATGCATAATGAGCATAAAGCGCGGTGGTCGTCGCGCAGTGCATGTTCGAATTTCATGTAAATAAACAATGTATTTTACACGCGTTGTGTATTTCGCTATGAGTCCCATATCGAACAGGACGCGGCACGACGACCGCCACGCTGTAAACAATGTTCAGCTCTTGAGCCAATCACTGTTAAATATTTGAATTCGAAAGAAAGCTGATGATCGGTAATTACAAATTGTTATAAATATGTTTATGAATTAAAGTACACTTTAATTTCTGTCTTTTACTGTACTCCTTGTTTAACACATGGATAGTTGTAATTATGTGTTTTATTTTTTCAGGTGTTTACTAAGATTTACAGAGATACAGTATGGTGGCAGGCATATATACAAGTATATGAGTAGTACTGTTGGCATGCCGACTATAATCGATGGTATGTATGTACCAGATAACTTGTACATCGCTGGAGATTCATATCATGTGTTCACTTTACATCTGATTGACTTACAAACGTTGATGGTACACAGAGGAAATATCACCCTATCAAATTTGATAAGATTTTGTTCAATTGATACACAACTTTTCACACTACAACACGGCTGATTGGTGGCTATCATTGTCATAAAAATAGACTACAAAAAAAAAACGTTTCACTGAGATGGTAGATGCGCTATCAATTATTCAAACATTGCCGACACAACAACCCCATGATTATTTGATTTTTTTTTAATATTTATAAATTTCACCATTCAAACTTAAAACAAGACGTTTCTATTGGCCAGTGGAATAACATTGGCAAATTTTTATTGACATTATATCCATTGATTGTCAGATTAGATTTATGTTGTTATTTTTAAATATTTATAAAAATAAAGACAATGGGTTTGTTATATTGACAGTATAATCTGTAAATTATGTAATATTTGAAATGAAATAATTACCGGTAGTCCCCATTCGAACGTGTTCGAAAATAGGTACTTATGGATTGATCTTTGTGTGAGTGTCTATATCTCAGACATGCCTGGACCGATTATATTCAAACTTCACACATAAATAATATTATACATGTGCACATCAATTTGTTTCATGATCTGATTGAAGATAGCCGAACGGTGTCCATTTTTGTGGTGAAAAATCATCAAAATCAAGCATTTCTGGCATTCCGGAATCGGATCTTGGCTGTTTACAGTTGGATTTTGTTCAAACTTGGTTCATACATTGGACATTATAGGATGCACATCATTTTGTTTTTCCGATTGGATTCAAAATGACTGACTGGTGGCCATTTTTTTTAAATGAATGCTGTTCTAGTGCCATATCATGACATGACATGACATGTTCAAATTTTATATATTCATTATACATCATGACATAGATATACAGATATATTGGTTTGAAATGAAAATCATTCAAAATGTGCTAAAAATCATCGAAATCCAGCATTTCTGGCATTCCGGAACTAGATCTTGGGTGTACATTGGATATTATGGGACCTTGATACACATCAATTTATACTCCAGATAGGATTCAACATGGCCGAGCGGTTATATGAATTTTCAGAAATATATATCCATATATCATGAATCACAGCATTTTAATGTAATTTTCAAATCATCACTGATTGATGGATGGATATTGCTTCATAGTTTTAGGATAAATGTTTATCTTAATTATTCCTGCAGTAAGACAACGTCTCTCAGAACGTGTTGGAAGAAAAGAGCCCTGGAGGTAAGATACGCTGTATAATGTCACAAATGTACTTGTGGTAGATGCTGTTCATGGTCTACATTATTTTGTACTTTTGCCAAGACGGTTACATTTTATGTAGCATTGCTTCGTCTGTTAACAAAATTACTGGAAAAGTTAAAGATGGACTGCTCTGTCCACAGAGGTGTGCCTTCACCCAAGGGAGAACCCATTGAATTTTGGTGGTGAATTGTTTGAAGGATTCTAATGTTGGAATATGTGTATATAACTCTATAACAAATGCAAAACAAAAATTTTGATACTATGACAAGAACAGAAAAAATGAAGGTACAGCCATGCAACTAAAACAAAATTGTAGCCAAATGTCTACTGAATCGGCAGTACTGTGTCAATGAATGTCTCATGAATAGTTCTTGGGAGTGGAGCTCTGTCACATACCGTTTTGTTGCTAAGATACACACGACCAGTACTGCAGGGATTTTTTGTAAATGCGCAGCGCCCTCATGCCATGGCCATGCGCCCCCTTACCCTGGGGAGCAGATCCTCTGGCAACCATAAAATTCTGATTGATCAGGGATCACATGTGGCCACAGTCTTCAACTGTGATCTGTCTCACTATATAAATCATATTCACTCACCAGTTGTCAATAATTTATGCATTTATTCGTCTAACAGCAAAGGTGTTGATAGATTTGCATCGTTAAAACCTGCAGAATCTCAGGATGAGCTACCGATTAGATCGATGAAGGACAGCTACCAGGAAGCCATTATACCACTTGGGTCGGACGTTAAATTAAGAGAAAAGTACATGACAATACACAATATAGTCAGGTTCGGAAGGATCCTTGAAAATCTGGATACATTTGCCGGTGAGGTTTTCAGGATTTTGTCAATTTGTATTATAATTCTGTGATTTTTTTTTTTACTTTAATAAAACTTTATTGATTTTTTTTTTAATTATAGTATGGATTTGCTATCAACATAATAAAATTGAAGAATGGAAGAACCCCCCAATAGTTATAGTGACAGCTCTGGTGGATAGAATTGGTGTGTATAATTGCATAAATACTATCTCTGTATTATATATGAAAATAATATAATTAATGTAAAATTTTCATGGAGAAAATGTTTTTTGTTTTTTTTTAATGTAAAACATTATATTAGTGATTTCATTCAACATTTTTTTTCTAATTTTTTTATTTTTAAATAGTAATTTTTTTTTATTTTACGAATAAAGTAATTACATACACAGGAAACAAACTTACCAAAGGAAATACAGAAACAAAAATGATCTGGTGTACAAATACAGTATTTAATAACTCAACCTCAGTTTTCAGCTTTCTTCGATTTTTCAAAATGTGAGTTGACCTTATTATTTCTTTTTGCAATTTCATTTTCAATTCGTCTATTGGAAAGAACAAAAATCTTAAATGCATGATATGATAACATTTTTTTTTTGTTCTACATAGATAAATAAACCATTTGAATAAAATTATGATATGGTTCAACAATTTAATAATTAGGGTGGATTCTTGAAGCAAAGAAACAATAATTGTCAGTTATACGTGTATTATTGATGAAATTAAAGCATTTTCATATTGATGAGAACAGCAAATAATTAGTATTGTAAGTCCTATAGTCGGTTTCCTACTTTAGCCTATCTGGTCACCACGACTCATTAAAAGAATGAGAGCTTAAAAATTAGCTACAAACCCTGGCAGGCAACTGATGGGGCATGGTTACAATGGTTGGATTTTGTCAGTCTTTCTCATTTCTAGTTGTTATTTCTTCTGTTTATACTTTGTTCAGATTTACAAGTGAGAACCATTTTATCCGATAAAGACATTATATTGAAGGGCAATGTCACTTGGGTTGGTGCTACTTCAATGGAAGTCAAAATGCACATGGAGCAAGTAAGAGCGTTGACTTACAAAATATTATTATTATTTCAATTTTATTCGTTTACAAGATCTATTTCTGATTTATGTAAGCTGTGCAAATTCTCCCATGCAGATAGTATAATGTTGTGACACTTCCTTCTATCGTTTTATTGCTCAAGATACAGGATGATGGTAATTGGAAACAGGTGATGGATGCTAGTTTCATGATGGTATCCCGAGACCCCATGAATCAGAGGTAATACATGTGCTGACATTTGCTAACTTAATAAATTATTATTTGCAACAAAACTTTATATATTTTTTGTTGCTGTGAAAAAGCAATTTATTAGATTTAGATTTTTACGAATGATTTAGATTGTAGTACTTTTTTGTTCGGAGACCCCAGAGATAGATGGTATATACATACTTAGTCAGCTGTGCATGTTGGGAATTCCCTTATTGCAAGTTGCAATGTAATCTATCAGGGAAAAAAGGTAGGCATGACGAGCTAGCTAGTTAGGTATGTATGTTTTTTAAGTTGTGCATATTTTAGTCCCTTTTTGAATGCAGTCCAAAAATGGGGGCTTATGGGTTGACCTGTGTGTGTGTGCTAAAATATCATCAAAAATCAAGCATTTTTGGCATTCTGGAACCGGATCTCGGTCATTAATAGATGGATTTTATTGGTACATACATTTGACATTATGGGAAACTGATCTAGGCCATTTTGTTTATCAGAATTGTTGCAAAATGGGCATTTTGTTTTAATCAATGCAGTTCTAGAGCCATATCTCTGATATGCTTTGACTGATGTTCAGATTTTATATATTCATTATACATCATATCATAGATATACAAATGTACTGGTTTGACAATTTGATTCAAGATGGCCGACCTGTGGCTATTTTGTTTTAATTAATGCTGTTCCAGAACAATATCAATATGGCCAAGTACTCATACTATATTACTTTAAACAAGACTATAAAACTTAGATTTGATAACTAACGGGGTCTGTGTCATGCATGGCTTGTTAGTACCGGTTTTGAAGCAGTCGGAAAACAAGGGCTTATGCATCTGTGCATCCATGTGTCTGTTCATATGTATCCAGTAATATCTCCCACATGCTTGGACCGATATTAAGTTCAAACTGCACACAAAAATCAGATATCATATCGAAAAAACTCGCATGCATTTTTGTGACCATAAAATCAAAATGGCTAACTAATGGTCATCTTGTGTAAATGAAGGCAGTTCCACAAGGCAATATCTCATACATGCCTGGACTAAACAAGTTTAAACATCACACATCAGGTCATACATGTATATCAGACATCTATAATACAAGCATGGACATGGCAAGGAAAATGACTTAATGTTAGGCATAAATACAAGTTATGCAAATCTTAAAAGTTAGGCATCACTTGCAAATCAGGTATATTTTACAAGTTAGGCATACCTTGTTTGGCACTTCCTAAAAATTAGGAGTCACTTGCCATTTAGACATATTTTAAAAGTTAGGCGTCATTTGTAAGTTAGGCATATTTTAAAAGTTAGGCATCACTTGCAAGTTTGGCATATTTTAAAAGTTAGGCATCACTTGTAAATTGAACATACCAGTATTTCAAAAGTTAGGCATCACTCGCAAGTTTGGCATATTTGAAAAGTTAGGCATCACTTGCAAGTTAGGCACATTTGAAAAGTTAGGCATCACTTGCAAGTTAGGCATATTTGAAAAGTTGGGCATCACTTGCAAGTTAGGCATATTTGAAAAGTTGGGCATCACTTGCAAGTTAGGCATATTTGAAAAGTTAGGCATCACTTGCAAGTTAGGCATATTTGAAAAGTTGGGCATCACTTGCAAGTTAGGCATATTTGAAAAGTTAGGCATCACTTGCAAGTTAGGCATATTTTTTAAAAGTTAGGCATAATGAGTTTATTCCATGTATATTTGTGTATTAAATATACATTTCTTGGAAAGACTATATGCAAGTTATTTAGTATATATAATTTTTTGCAGGAAGGCATTTGTATGTCCTTTGAAAGCGGAGTCTGATGAAGAAAAGCAACTACTCATGAAAGGAGAGGACAACAGAAAAAGACGAATCAGAGAATCAAAAGAATCTTTATTGAAAACTCCCCCAAATGCTGATGAAACTGCACTAATACACAGGTTATTTCTGGATACTTTAGATCCTATGTAAGTTGAAAACTCTGTCAAATACTGATGAAACGTGCATGGTGTGATAACAATAATTGATGGCGTACATTAAACATTTGGCTTGCACTAAAAAAAATTTTCCTAACTTTGATTCATTTTAAAAAGTTGGACGTTATTTATTAAAGTAGTTTCATACTTTACAAATTTAGGCATTGATATTGTGTCAGTAATTTCTTTGCTATTTTATCAGGAGACAAGTAAAAAAAATGGAAAGTACTTAATACTGATTGCATGCACAATTTGGTATTTAAGAACACTCATAATTCGAACAATTCTCTCTTATTGTGTTTGAAACATGTTGCATGTTTGTTTTTTAATGCCAGGTCAGTTACTTTTAAAGCAAGAGTGAAACCAGATGGTGCTGTATGGATGGAGGATGCTAAATTGAAAAATATTATAATCTGTCATCCTGAAGTAAGTATGTGATTTTACCAAGTACACTGTAATGATTCACCATGATAACAGGGATTTATTTCTGATGACAACAACAACAAAAAATCAATCAACATCCTGCTATACTAATCTCTGTTCTAACAATGAATGACGACTAGTTTTATGTCTCATTACCAATATGTCAGAAATCAATAACATAAAACTGGCCATACTATTGTAGATGAGCTAAAAAAATATTATCCTAGATCTACAACAATTAATAGACCTCAGATCTTCTTGAGAACAAGACAGCAACAATTGGAGATGTGTTTTTCTCCCTCAAATAATTTCAATTTTCTCCTGTCATCTCGTCTACTGTTTCAATCACCATGGCTACATAAATCAGTAGAACAGTAAACACAATGATGGCAGAGAATACAACACATTTTGAGAGCAAGAAATAAAATAA